TGATGGCTCCTCCTCTTTCTTGGGTTTCTGCTGCCTGAGGTATTCACTGAGCACACAATTGGTTGGGGCCATCTTCCTGATGTACTCATGGATGTTTGTTGTGTCATCCTGGACCGTGGTGCTGACACTCACCAGTCCCCGGCCTCCTTCCTTCTGCTTAGCGTACAGCCTCAGGCAGCTGGACTTGGGGTGAAACCCTCCATGTGTGGTCAGGAGCTTCCTGGTCTTGATGTCAGTGGCTTACATTTCCTCCTTTGGCCAGCTTAATATCCCAGCAGGATCAGTGGCAGGGAATAGGTGTTGATTGCCCAGATCTTGTTGTTACCGTTCAGCTGACTCCTCAGGACTTGCCTGACCCTCTGCAGGCAGTGATTGCCCGTTTGCCTGTGGGATTCTCAGGTACTTGTAGGTATCCTCCATGTCCGCTCATTTCTGATTGCCCTTTCCTCTCTTCGATACTATCCAACTATACTCCATGAGTACATCAGGAAGATGGCCACAACTGACCACCTGTTCAGTGAATACCGAAGAAAGAAACAGGAGAAAGAAAAGAAGCAAGGGGTAAGAGGAGGGGCCATCATGGAAGGACAGCCCACTGCACGGAATGTACCACCGGCAGGTGGCTGACATCCAGAATCCTACCAGTGGCTGGACAAGGGAATTATGTGGTTACAGTTGCTCCAAGACAATACAAGTAACAGACTGAACTAAATACTGCAATATATTACAAAGTTTAAAAATTAAAAGAAATAGCTCAAATATACAAATAACTCAATTATAAATATCTAGAATATTACAGAGGAGCACAAGATCCATAGAGCCTGGGGTCTATCACACCAAGACCTGAGGTGCAGGCTGTGTAAAGATGCCCCTGAGACAATCGAGCACATAACAGCAGGGTGCAAGATGCTAGCAGGCAGGGCATACATGGAACACCATAACCAAGTGGCCGGCATAGTGTACAGGAACATCTGTAACATCTGTGCTAGGAACCTACGGGACTTACAGATACAAATGGACAAACCAGCGATGGCTAACATAACAAACATGGTAGTAGTGGATAAGCAGAGGAAGAAGGCCAGGCTGAGAACTCGAGAATATGTGGAGGATGAAGGTAACAGTGCCAGTGCTAATTTGGAGAAACAGCGCACACACACACACACACGATCTTACTGGGAAAAGCAGAGGCGGTGGTGTATGTTTCATGATCAACAACAGCTGGTGTGATTATGCGAACGTGCACCCGGTCAAATCCTTCTGCTCACCGGACCTGGAGTACCTGATGATTAAGTGCCGGCCATTTTGGCTACCGAGGGAATTTACAGCAGTGATTATTACGGCTGTTTACATCCCCCCACAAGCCGATACTGACCGAGCACTCAGGGAACTGTACAGCGCGATCAGCAGCGAGGAAACCGCACACCCAGAGGCAGCGTTTATCACAGCTGGAGACTTTAATAAGGGAAACCTGAAGAAAGTCTCACCAAAACTACATCAACACATTCCCTTTAATACACGTGGGAACCGGCTTCTCGACCACTGTTACACCTCTTTCCGGGATGCGTACAAAGCCCTCCCCCGCGCCCCATTCGGCCAATCAGATCACTGCTCCATCCTGCTCCTGCCCGCCTACAGGCAGAAGCTGAAACAGGAAGCTCCAACCCGGAGGGCGGTGCACTGTTGGACGGACCAATCGGAGTCTGCGCTGCGGGACTGTTTTGATCACGCGGACTGGGAAATGTTTCACGTAGCCGCAAAAGACATTGATGAATACACAGACTCAGTCTGTGGATTTATCAGGAAATGCGTGGAAGATGTCGTCCCATCCAGAACAGTTAAATCCTTCCCAAATCAAAAACCCTGGATTAACGGAGATGTTCGCGCGGCACTGGCGGCACGGAACACCGCCTTTGCCTCCGCGAACACATCGGACTACAAACACGCACATTACCAACTCCGGAAGACGATCAAAGCAGCCAAACGTGAGTACAGGGACAGGGTGGAGCAACAGTTTGACAACCCTCGGAGTATGTGGCAGGGACTAAACACGATCACAGACTTTAGAGGGAAAACCAGCACACCGCAGACCACGGCCTCTCTGTGTGAGGATCTAAACGTATTCTACGCTAGATTCGACACAGCGAACACCATGAGACCGGACAGTGTGCGCACCGCGGATGACGTCAGCGCGCACACTGTGTCTGAGGAGGATGTGCGGAAGTGCTTCAGGAAGGTGAACGCGCGCAAAGCTACTGGTCCGGACGGGATTCCCGGCCGGGTCCTCAAGTCATGCGCGGCTCAGCTGGCTGGAGTGTTCACGCACATCTTCAACCTTTCCCTCTCTCTGTCTGTAGTCCCAGCCTGCTTCAAAATGGCCACCATCGTCCCTGTACCCAAATCCTCCACCATCTCCTCATTGAACGACTGGCGACCTGTAGCCCTGACCCCCATCGTGAGCAAATGCTTCGAGAAGCTGGTCAGGGACTTCATCCGCTCTGCACTACCCGACTCACTGGACCCTCTACAGTTCGCATACCGCCACAACAGGTCCACTGATGATGCCATAGCCCTGACACTACACACTGCCCTGTCACACCTGGAGAAGAGAGACACGTATGTGAGAATGCTGTTTGTAGATTACAGCTCAGCATTCAATACCATCGTTCCCTCGAAGCTGGACAGGAAACTGCAGGATCTAGGACTGAGCAGCTCCCTCTGCAGCTGGATCCTTAGCTTCCTGTCTGACAGACGCCAAGTGGTCAGACAGGGCAGCATCACCTCATCCCCCATCACACTGAACACTGGTGCTCCACAGGGGTGTGTACTGAGCCCTCTCCTGTACTCACTCTACACCTACGACTGCACAGCCACTAACAACTCCAACATCATTGTGAAGTTTGCGGACGACACTACAGTGGTGGGTCTTATCACCAACGGTGATGAGACGGCTTACAGGGAGGAGGTCAGCGCCCTGACCCACTGGTGTCAAGACAACCATCTCACCCTCAACGTCGCAAAGACAAAGGAGTTGATAGTGGACTTCCGGAGGTGCAGAGAAGTACACACCCCCATCACCATCAACGGCGCTGCTGTGGAGAGAGTGAGCAGCTTCCGGTTCCTTGGAGTACATCTGGCTGAGGATCTTACGTGGTCAGTACACACAAACAAAACAGTGAAGAAGGCGCAGCAGCGCCTCTTCTTTCTCAGGAGACTGAAAAGATTCGGCATGAGCCCCCGCATCCTCAGGACCTTCTATCACTGTGCCATTGAGAGCATCCTCACTGGATGCATCACCACCTGGTATGGCAACAGCACCGCCTACAACCGCAAAGCTCTCCAGCGAGTAGTGCGGTGCTCTGAACGGATAATTGGAGGTGAGCTTCCCTCCCTCCAAGACATCTACAGGAAGCGCTGCCTGAGGAAAGCGGGGAGGATCATCAAGGACTCCAGTCACCCCAGCCATAAACTGTTCAGACTACTTCCATCAGGAAGGAGGTTCTGCAGCATCCGGTCCCGTACCAGCAGACTGAGAGACAGCTTTTTCCATCAGGCCATCAGACTGCTGAACACGTCATAGACACCTCAGCTTCACTACTGGAACTTCAACATTATGCACTCCACACTGTATATAAATGCCACTTGTTTTGCACATATTCAACTCTGTATATTTTTATATATTTTATTATTATTATTATTTTTTTACTATTTAATTTGTAAAATGTGTATACACACACACACACACACACACACACACACACACACACACACACACGGAAAATGTTTAGTATACACATCCAGAAATGCATACACTATTATATATTGTACATATATTTATTAGTTTCAGATGTAGCCATTCTTGTATTTGCTGGTTTGTGTTGTTGTGTTTGCACATTTCTGTTGCTTGTGGGCTCGCACACAAGAATTTCACTCGCATGTGCTGTGCCAGTGTGCCTGCACATGCGATGTGACAATAAAAGTGATTTGATTTGATTTTTGATTTGTATATATATATATATATATAGGGGTGCAACAATACTCGTATCGATATTGAACCGTTCGATACAGTGCTTTCGGTTCGGTACGCATATGTATCGAACAATACAAAATTTTTAATTTATTTTATCAACTTTCCTTCTGACGATGCTGTCTGTGTTGAGCGCTCAGTGGATCTGCGCTCGACAGTGCAGCCTAGGCGGAGTAGTCGAACGCAGATTCACTGAGCGCAGGGCAAGCTAGCGAGACAGAAGTTAAGCTCTCCTTGCAACATGGCAAATTGAACCTCCCCCACCCTCATTCAGATCTGGCGTTTGGAACTATTTTGGTTTTCATGTGACGTATGACCCTGAAGGTAAGCGCGTCATGGACTAAAGTAAAACAGTATGTTGGATGTGCCACGCAATGCTCAATTACATTGGGTGGGAACTAGTGTGTTAGCCAGTTAGCTCGTTAACGTGTTGGCCGTCCAGCCCCACGCACGGGGCGATCCGCGGTAGCTCGTTAACGGAGATTTGCCGTGTTAACGTCATTTCAGATTAACGCTGACAGCACTAGTGGGAACACAACGAATATGACTGCACATTTACTCCGACATCATCCTAGTGCAAAGACAAGTGGAAGCAGACAAAAACAACAAGCACCATGCTACAAACTTTACCCGAGTCATTTAGACAGCCGTTAGCACAGGATTCTCCTTATGGGGACCTGATATGTTTAATATGCTGCTGAGAATATAGCCCAGAAGAAGCGTATAGTATAGCTTTTATTTTGGAAAGAGACCATTTCTCTGTAATAAACTCTCTTTTCCAAAGATGAGTGATTTCTCATCAGATAGATTATTTTTTTTATTACTTTGTTGTTTCAGCAACATTAAATTTAAAAACTGTACTTTTGAGTTAAAATATATATTTATAATTTTAATAAATGACAAATTAAAAAGGCATGAACATTTTTTTTTGTATCGAAAAAATATCAACCGTGATTTGTCTAGTATCTTGTCCTTTTTAAAATATTTATTCTTGTTCTGTTCATTGCACGTGTTATAAGGACAATAAAGATATTCTGATTCCATTACTGAAGCAGCGTGGAATCACCCTGACAGAGGACAAAAGGCAGAAACATCCAAACAGAGCTTTGAATGTCCTTCTGGAAGCCTGGAGAGCTATTTCTGAAGATCCTCGTAGAGATGAGAGAGCTGCTTAGAGAGTTCAGATGGAGCTGAAGGATGAAGCTGCTCACACCAACTATTCACTTTCAAGCTCGTTAGAATCATTCAAACTCATTTACTGTATTCCACATACGTTTGCACAGGTTTCAATAAATCACCGTATCTATTCTTAGCTATCCTAAGAATGACTCAAGAGTTTTGCTTAGTACAGTAAGTTTGTTCTTTAGTGTTGCACATAAACCCGACCAGGTGACAGCCAGCAGCAGGGAGCAGTCCATTGTCTCTCCATGGACCATGCTTCTACTTTAATATGTTAATCTTAATGTCACTTTATTAGATCTTCATACACCAAAGTACATGGTGATATCACATCACACACAACGACATCACTGCAAAAAGAAAACGCACAACATAGTTCATGAATGACTCAGTTACCGCAGCAACAGTAAGGCACTTAGAATAAGAGTCCAGACTGAGCTATGAGGAGGAAACAGAAAGCACATGAAGGCTCGCCCCTGATTAGCTAAAAGAGACAAGTCAAGTAAGGTTTGAGTTTCAGGCAAGAGGAGAGCTGAACAGTTTGTTGTATTCTTCCTCAAAGGAGACTCTCTTCAGACGCTCCAGAGACAGCAGAGTGAGACCGCCCTACATACAACACGTCACATCACATGACATGAGGCACATCACATGACATGGGACACAACACATGACATGGGACACAACACACATACGACAACACAGACAGAAGGAAACAGAATCATATGAGTTGTTTGTTACATGTACACAACATATCTTATAGATGTGCAAGGGTTTAAATATTTCTAAATAAACGTGTTTGTGCAGTAGTCTGACCAGCAGGTGGCAGCAGTGGAAGCCTTCACATACTTACCCAGGTGAAGATGGAAAAGAAGGAGAAAACAATGGTTGCTCTGGCTGCATCGGCTCCTTCGTTCAGAGGATTGTCCTCTTTTTTAGAGACCTGCCACTGATTGGCCAGAAAACAGAAGCCCACAAACCAGATGAAGGCCCATAGAGCTGCACACAGCACGGAGGAACCACATTTAACAAAATGCACAAAACACACGTGCCTAATCCCACCGACTCCAAAGCACAGGAGATGGACACTCACCTGACACTACAATGTCAGCCATGACGGCCTTCTTCCTGTCCTTCACGCCGCTGATCTGGGGGAAGTAAACATCCAGTGCCAGGAAAGCAGCGCTGCATAGGAACCCCAATGTTCCCATGGTGATGCCATAGTTGCAGGCGTTCTGGTTGCGGTTGAAGATGCAATACGGCTCCACCTCCTCTGGCCTGTTGACATAGCCCTCGTTAGCAACGCAGCCGAGGATGACGATGGAGAAGAGCTGGAGCGAGGAAGTAAAGTTTATTAATGAGCAAGTTTAAACACAGCTTTTACTGATCAAAGTGTACTGACCTTGTTAGAATGTAATTTTATATTTAAGGCTATATATCTCATAATTTGTTCGTTTTGCCTCTGAAAACACTACATCCACATGAACAGGATTTGGTATGGTAATGAGAGTGTCATCTCCACATAAGAAGATGTCCAGAAAGGCGCAGAAGAAGAAACATGAGCTGACGTCAGATGTCAAGGCCACGCTCAACAGTTTTGACCAATCATGTTAACGTTCTGTTTCTGTGACCCGCAGTAACACTGATTACTGGCTGGGTGTGGGGCTCTTTCTTTCTTTCTTTTGGGTCTCCTGAGTGACCAAAGAGACACAGCAGCCATTTTTATCTTGAACCTTTCTCTGCTTAATATTTTTTTTTTTATAAATGCACTTAGAGCATATTTGTCTTCTCTCTCAAAAATAAACCCAACAACCTATAAACATGCATGAAATTACATATTACATGAAAAAGCAAACGCAGACACGGAACCATTACCAGGCCATCAACAGAGGACAGCAGGGGGCAGACAGAGTTTCAGCGGGAACAGCCAATGGGAGATCAGTGGCTCAAAGAGAGAAATGGTGGATTCTTTGAGGCACACAGAATGTCTTTTTCCATGGCCTCTCCGAACTCCTCCCACACAGGAGTTTTTGCGTCGGCCACTGCCCAAGCCGCTTTCTGCTAGGCCTGTCGGTACCTATCGACTGCTTTCGAAGTCCCACAGGCTAACCGAGCTCCATACAGCTCCTTCTGCATGATGGACTCCACCACCTTGTGGATGCAGCTCAGTGCAGCAGCTCCAGCAATGTGCTGAACATGGTCCATTTGGACTCAATGTCCTCAGTCTGCCTTGGAATGCTGTCGAAGCTTTACTGGAAGACGGAGGTGAAGATCCTGTGGACTGGGGTCTCTCCCAAGCAAAATCTTGGGTGTGGGAGGAGTTTGGTGAGGCAATGAAAAAAAAACTAAACTGGAACATAAAAAAACCCAAATCTATTAGCAGCAACCAACCAACCCAGTGATGTCACACTGTGCTGTAACACAAGATGGCACTAATCACGGTTTAAAAATGTTAAGCACTTATTTTTTAGATCCAGCAGGGTTATCTATGTCAGTTTTTGAGAGCAGGACTCCTTGGTGTGAATTTGCTTTTATCAGAGATAGCAAAGTAGGAACATTCTTTATTTAAGTAGAAGTACGGCAGCACCATTGCTGGAGCTGCTGTACTTCTACTCGAGCTGCTGGAGTATTTTGAACCTGTGTTAAAAAATACTCCAGTAAAAGTTTAAGTACTGAAGCAACTTTTTTACTCAAGTAAAAGTTTAGGTTTAAAGTACAGATTTAACAACACTTCCATGTGAGCTTTAAATGAGCATCCTTCCTTTGACTCTAAGCTCTCTGCTTCCTCTCCTTTCCTTCTTTCTTATCTGTCTCCATCTCTGAGTGAACGTAGCTCTCTGTCTTTTCTGTCCCTGACAAATAAGCAGCTGGACGTTAGCTGCAGCACACTGTGGGACAAACTGCACGCACACAGTTTGTGTGTTTGCTGATGTTTGTTGAGCTGCTTTGATTTGATTTGACAGTGTTTGAGGTGAGCTGACAACACTTTATCATCCGTGGTATTAGTCAGAATCAGCTTTCTATTTTAACCTGACTATTATGTGAGTAGCAGGTCACTGTTAACAGTTTCGGTGCTATGAATGGCTCTGAGGCCCAACTGAAACAGTTCCTGTTTCTCGCCTGAGCTGGGACCCAACTGCTGTTGTAAAATGAAAGTTAACTTAGCAACAGGACGGTATGTCCTTGGCATCAAGGTTTGATGTTTTTGTGCCATGGCTGGATTCTGGAAGCAGAGTGGGCATGATCACATGCAGTCTGATGACTTCCTCAAAGAAAGCACTGCAGTCATTAAAAATGCTATCAACACAGCGCAGCTCGAGTGGATACATGGCTCCTGTCACACTTTAATACATTTATACAAAGACAATCACAGTTTTGGAGAGTGTTTTATTTGTGGTCCTTGAATAGCGTCTGTAGATCTGCAAATATTTCACATCAGAAACCTGTTAATAAAGGAAGGTTTTCAGCTTTTAAACAATCAATCATGTGCAGCTGGACCTAACAGAGCTCCATGTGACCTTTAACCAGCAAGCAGCTGTTACCCTGCAGCATACACCTCCCAGCTCCACAATTACCTCTTCCATCCTGTGCTATGGAGGCGTGGAGGACTGCATGTTTCTATCCAATCACGGCAGTATCTCTCCTGAGCTGTCCAATCAGAGTGGCTGCAGAGTCAAACAGTGAGGTTTTGTTTGAGCAGTCTTGTGTTGAGCCTTAGGAATTTTAACACCAATCTCATGACTGAATCACACAGGACTCTCAGGACCCAGCAGCCAGTAAAGTGACAGCTGACCCCAAACAGAGAGAGAACCGACCAGAACCAGAGCCCCTCAGTCACACATTAACACAAAGGCTGATCACTTAAACATCAGAACAGGCAGACATTTGTGAAGATGCTGATCTCCTGAAGTTTTACTTCCATCATCTCTCAGGTCAGAGGCACATCAGAGGAGGATGGACATCAGCAGACCAGGTGGACCCAGACTCACCTGAACTGGATCAGAACGACAGATCTAAGAGGTTCTGTCAAACCTCAGACTTCATTCAGAATTCGGACAATTCGGGACTCCATTTAAATTTTTTCTGCCTCACTTTGCTGGATTTACTCTAACCTGTCAGACATTCATCCCCCTGCTGTAGGGAGCTTAAAACACGTGTTGGGGAACATGTGGGGCATGTTTTGAGAGGAAGGCATTCAGGGAGGGGGCCAGGCACCAGCGCGGATGTGAGACTGTGCGTTCAGCAGATGAGACTCTGAGAGAACGTGTAGCCCACATTGTCAAACTCACCTGAACGCTCTAAGATAAAACAGGTGAGCCTGTCACATGACACCACAGCTTCTTGGATCTGATTGGATGGCACCGTGAGACCTCTCAGGTTTGTCCATAACACTAATGATTGGTTTGTTTAGAGACCCATCTATGACATAATTATGACATCACAGGACTTACCCAGCACAGGATCCTAACAACAGTCTGCGGCTGCCTGATGAAGGTCGCAGGGTCGAACGCTCCGCCGGCCTTCCCCGCCCCGTACGCCTGGAAACCATCCATCCACTTCCTCTTCCTCAGACCACTGCAGTCCACCTCAACCCTCCAGAACCCAGCCAAGTCCAGTTAGTCGCAAACAGACTGGTCCCAGTTCACTGCATCAGGACAGGCCCAGTCAGGCCAGTAGGCTCAGTTGGTTTTGGTGTGCCTCTCTCTTCTTCTTCTCTGCTGTTATAAACTACTCTGTAATCTGCAGTAATCCTCTTCATCCTCCCTCACTGCACAACAGCCTTTAGCCCCCCCCCGCACCGACTCACAGGGTGGCCACTGCTGCACCAATCAGAGGAAGCGGCCACAGCTATCCAACCATAGTGAAGGAGGCGTTACTCTGCCTGAGAGGAGGAGCTGCCTGTGAGGCAGAACTCAGGGTGGAAAACTATTCATGTCTGTCTCCTCTTTCCTTCCTTCCTTCCTTCCCTCCTTCCCAGCAGCTTTGTAAATCCCAGCGATTAGAGGTTTGCAATGATGAACCCACAGACCGGGATATCATGGCGGCGGCTCTGAGGAAGACCTCCCATTTTCATTGTCCAGTCTGGAGATCAACCATCAGCTTGATTGTCCCTGATGGTGTGGTTGAGGGGTGGGGGGTAGCTGTGACCTCTGTGAAGGCCTCATTAATTAAAAGTACATCTGCAGAGCAACATCTGCTCCTAACCCTAACACCGCCTGTCTCAAGGAACCTCACTGAGCTCCATTCCTGACCTGAGTACAGCCCAACCCCAGACCATCACCCACTGAAACATCTGGAGCTTCACAGAACCCAAAAACCACAAAAACGTCTGATTTCAACCTGCAGAAGCTGGTCTCCTCAGTTCAATCAGAGCTGTGGCCTGAACAGCTACAATTTTTTTATATTTAATGATTGTTTTGATCTTTACTCTTTGACCCTGAACCAGCAGCGATGCTGCAGCTGAGAGAATAAAGACTCCGAGTTTCCTCTCATTCGTTCATGTGCAGCTTGTTCCTGAAAGCAGGAAATGAAGCTCCAGCTGCTCAGACTGAACATCCATGTGATAGTGCGCTGATCCAGACCATGGTTCTGATCTGCAGCAAACACACACCTGAGTATCTGTTCAACCAATCACATTCATTCACTCTGATCTGCGACATACTGCAGCGAGTTCCACTTTAAAGTCTGAGCGCTCTGATGGGGGACGCTGTCAGAGTGGCTGTAAGCATCACAAGAACTTTTTTCTGCCTTGGTCTGTATCAGCTGTTCCTCTGATGATGTTGCCTTGTTTGATGTGAGCATGCTCACCACGGTGACCCCTGTTAACCCCTGAAACAGGCTTTAGGCTTGGTCAGACAGCACAAAGAAAGCCTGGGTGAAGTTTCAGTTCAGGGTGACTGAGTGTCCTCACAACGGAGGAGAACAAGTGTGTGTGTGTGTGTGTGTGGTGTGTGTTGTGTGCGTGTGTGTGTGCGTGTGTGTGTGTGTGTGTGTGTGTGTGTGTGCGTGCGCGTGTGTGTGTGATCAGTGGGAGCTTCGTGTGTCATCTCATTCTTATTTCCTGTTTGTTTGTTTACAGATGGAGACGTTTGTTGTTGAGTTTTACTGAAAGTGAACTTTATTGATAAACATGTTGCAGTGCAGACATTTATTAAGATGTCGATCAATAATTAGAGCACCTCCCGCTTCATCAGTGATCATGTGACACTCGGTGTTATTCAGTCATAAGACCTTCAGACAAACACTGCTCATCCTCATCATCGTCTTCATCTTTGGGGAGAGTTTCGCCTGAAGAAACCAAGCTGCACACACACACACACACATTTTACATGTGAACACAATATGGGCTCAAAATGTGGTCATAAATATTTTGTACTTGTAAAAAAGATTTGTGCGTGTGTAAAAAAGATTTGTGTTAAGTTAAGTTATAAGTTACAAGTACGGATTTTGACCCTATTTTTCTTCCTTTCATCTGATTGGTCAATGTCATGTCAATCACAAATGTAACAATCCAATCAGAGAACAGATGGGTTTGGCTGTCGAGGGGCGCTTTTTTTGAACTGCAGGTCTTTGAAGGGAATAAATGCCCTTTTACATGCCAACCCAGCGTTTTCCTTCATCACCACGAAGGAAAACAGTCTGTGGTCGTCCGAGTTTGGTGATTTTTGTGTCACAGGTCTACGTGTTTAATACAGGGACTTCCACAGCCTTTTCAACAGCGCTGCGGACCGCGGGGTGGGGGCGGGCAGTGTTTTGGAAATGACAGTCTTCATTACAAAGCTTTCTTCGTTATGAATTAGCATACATGTTTTTATTGAACATTTGAAGAACCAGCAAAAAAAACAAACTCTTGTAGAGGACATAAAGTCAGAGATAGAAAAGACAAGGAGCAGGTGCATCTAGTACAGGTACTGATGCAAAAACCCACAGAGCCCAGCAGCCAGCAACAAATTCTGGATCCTTTGCTTTTAGTTAGCAGTTAGCATTAGCAGCACATCCTGCGTCCGATGTGAAAGGACTTTTATGCTGCGCACTGTGACTCACAGCAATGGTCCCGGGTCAGCCCTGACTTTGTGTTAAACTAATCCTAAAGTAATAATGGTATTTCTAACCACTGATATACCACAACTTTATCCTTTCAACAGCTGCTGAAAGTTAGGGGACCTAGCTGCTATCGGATATTTATATAGAGATCCTCCAGCTTCAAACTGTATCACCCTTCAAAGACCTGCAGTTCAAAAAAAGCGCCCCTCGACAGCCAAACCCATCTGTTCTCTGATTGGATTGTTACATTTGTGATTGACATGACATTGACCAATCAGATGAAAGGGAAGAAAAATAGGGTCAAAATCCGTACTTGTAACTTGCAGGGGTTTTTTTCTAAGCCACTCTTCACACACAAATCTTTTTTACACATACAAATCTTTTTTACGCACACACAAATTCTTTTTACACATACAAATCTTTTTTACGCACACAAATCTTTTTTACACATACAAATCTTTTTTACAAGTACAAAATATTTATGACCACATTTTGAGCCCATAACACAAAACAAAGACGAAAACTAGCCGAGGCGACTTCAGCGTGGTCATCACGGTGACTGAGGATACCTGCACAGGTACAAACTGAATTTAGTTCGGTAATCATCACATTACTGTGGAGCTGACAAACGGAATGTGACACGAACCGCTAATTAATCACAAACATCCTCCAAATCAGTGGTCCCCAAACTTTTTTTGCTACGACCCCTATGTTTTACAAGAACCCCCCAAACCACACTCACAAACACATATTTTGTTTTCAAACTCTGTTGCAGTTTATGTCACACCTCAAACCTTTTGAAAACAGTTCAGCCAATAAAAGTCACTGCAATACATTACAGATTGCTATTAAACAAGCCACAGAAAAACAAACCATCTTTATGGTGTAATTATTTTACATATAGTTGTTTTTGTTGTTGTTTTTTTACTGTGTAAGAATATTCAACAGTGCTATCAACACATTTTTAAATAATGTCTCTCTGTGCAAAATGGGTTTAATATAGTGCTGTCAGCGCTAACGCGTTAATGCACCTGACCCGTGTTAGCGCATCAAAATGGTCAAATCCCCATTAACGAGTTTACGCAGTTTAGTCTGTGTGAGGGTTACTCGGCGTTAACGCATTAATGCAGCTTAAGCGCGTTAACGCCGTCATCACAACTAACGCGATTAACATTTAACTGGTCTATAACGCAGGAGACTCAAAATCACTGGAGGCAGTTTGTCCAAAGTTTGTTCATTCTGCGCTCCAGACGCGTTAAGCGCATTAACAATTTTAATCGTGTTAATCGTGATGATCGCGTTAACACATTTAGCTGTGTTAACGGCGTATTAACACGTTAATATTGACAGCACTAGTTTAAAAACAGAAACACCTGTGGGATACTGTTTGTCTGTGATTTGAACCAGGGGAACAAACTGTGGCAGGATCTGTGTTGCACCAAGGTACCGACAAAATGTGTTCCCCTGCCTAGCGAGCATTAGCACAGAGTGCGGATCCAGTTCACTCCGACTTCATTACAGACATTTGACGTGGGAGTAGTGATGTTTTAGTTTTGTGAAAAAGTGAAAAATGAGTGTCATTACATTACCTTTCAGTTTGAGGGTTACAACAGAAAGTGATATATTTATTGTTCTTACGTGGTATCCAATCGGATTATTTTACCTGATACTTATTTTTATCCTCCTGCAACTTTGCTGTATAAAGAGCTAAAACCTCCAAGGTTTCAGGAGTAGTTAGTCGTACAGGAAGTGTTTGTGAACTAAAAATCAAGAATGTGGGATACTGTTTGTCTGTGATTTTGACAGCCCAGCGTGTGCTCTCGATGCAGGGGAAAGTAATTCTGCAGGGGAGACCTACCTACCACGACAGCTGTTGTGCAGGTGAAGCCAAAGGCAAGATATGCTTTATCATATGTTCTAGTCTTTGGCTTGGAAGCATATATGGAGATGCTTCATCCTCTGCTTTGTGTGGGAGCCCCCATCAAAAACCTGTCCATTATGCTAGCAGTGTCCAAGATTTCTTTTCTTTTTATTGTACATACCCCCCCCAAGTGTGTCAGAGCTCTAACACACACCTGACACACCGAAATTCCCAGACAGGGAATGCTCAGTCAGACCAGCTGTGTCTCTGTTGAATGCTAGACTAGTCTGTACTAGAGATGGACCAATCCGATATTACGTATCGGTATCGGTCCGATACTGACGTAAATTACTGGATCGGATATCGGAGAGAAATAAAAAAATGTAATCCGATCCATTAAATATCAAAAAAGCACCTCACAAAACTTGCAACACGGCGTAACTCGGCTCATAACCGTAGCACGTCGGAGCAGTATGGTGGTCACGTGATAGAGCGGCTGTGTGTATTTGTAGCCTCGCTACCAAACCAGCATTTCATCTCCGAGGAAGTGATCCCAGAGAGAAGTAAAGCAAGTGTGTAAGTTCATCTCTGAATGTTTGTAAAGCATTCCCACGTTAAGCTTAACAACCGATATATGGAGCGACTGCCTCTCTCTCTCTCCTGCTGCTACTTCAATCGTGAAACTGATCAATGATCAGCTGATCGGCTTTTCTGTCGCGAGTCCGTCTCTCTTCTTTGTTTTTGGCCCACTTTGCACCAGAAAGAGGAAACCAGCGGCTGAACAACAGCAGCACGTTTAAGCTTGATAAGCTGTTGTTAGAATTTATTTAATATTACTTTCTACACCAGGATCTTTTTCTACGTAGCTGACGGCTGTAACTGTGCAGGGGCGGATCTA